AGTTGCGTATCGGATGAGATTTGCAATACTAATGGGTTAGTATAGAAACGTTGTTTGGAATAAAAAGATCTGTAATGTATGGTGGCTAATTTATTAGTCATCTGATTTGATTTTTAGTTCAGAGTATAGTGTGGCGTTAGATACTAACCAAGGTGCGGAGGTTATCGTACGAAGAGTAATCGACTGGAATGTTTGTATAGTGTGAATTTGGAAAGGCTTAACACTGCAGTCTCAAATTTGGATCGCATATGCCCAATGCCTATATAGGTTATAAAAATATTTGTACATTCTAAAATGGAATTGGATTGGGAATTTTGATTTTAAAATTGGACGAAGTAGATGTAGTAGGCTGTTAAAGATGTTTATTTTTTTAACCCCTGTAGGTTGCTATGAATTTCATCGGGCTTACGAAAATCGAAAATCGAATATTTTTTATTTATTTAAATGGTTTCCATTGATTTGAGATTATATTAAACTATAATAAATCATAGAAATATGGATTATGTAAGTATTGGCCACTCCACGCTGTAAAATAGATTAAATAAAATTAGGAAAGCTCATTTTGCGAGCTTGCTAAATTCCCAGTTGCCAAAGTTTTATATTCGTCAGGGTCTTGTTATTTTTATAATTGTTATATACACTAATAGTTTTATAATTGTTATATACACTATTAGTTTTATAATTAAGTAGCTTATCTTTTTTTGCTATTTTATTAATAGAATCTTTTTAGACGATCGAATACAATTTTGTGGACGTTTCGGCTTGCGTTTGAACTAAAACAGAAATTACTACTGGAACTGCAGGATGACATGCATAAAACTGTCCATMAAAGGTACGGTGAAAACTTTTCGGGCCATTTGTAGTTCTTAAATTAAAAGTGAAAATGTAAATTTCAGTTAGAAAAAAAAATTTCTTCATTCAGAACGCACTTCGTTTAATGGTTCAATGATGATAAATGATATTATTATAGCAGATATTAGTAGGTAACTCAACTACATTCATGTGATTATATGGTGGGAATTCAAAATTACGACAAAAGATGAGATAATCAGATAATTATCTTAGAATTTGTATCATCGTTTTATTAAATTTGGCAATATTGCACAATCGTGTAATCGTAATTAACACGCGCAATCGTAAACCAAAAGGGTACGTGCGCAATAGTAATGCGCGCAATCGTATTCTATCCAATAAATAATTATCTTAATATTTTATTATATTATATTTTTCAGGTTACTATAACGGACGCACGGTCAGACCGGGGATAAAACTTATCTAATACTAAGGTTTTAAACTTATAATATGTTCAGAAACCTATAATTGGCTAAAACTAAATTAGTATAATATTATTAGTATTAAAGAAATGGATAATCATGTAATTAATGTTTTTGTATAATTTACATTTATTTATATTCTTATTGCGTAATTTATGATAATATGGAGAAATTATTATTTTTATTTGAGCTTTGTAGATTATTTTTACATTTCTTTTCA